CATTCTACGACTTTCAATTACCGTAAGGCAAACTAGCTGGATTGTAAAAAATACATTTGTAAGACACTCTGATCTTGCTCCATGACTTTATTAACCTTATCCAGCGCTCACATCTGGTATGCATTTCCCAAAATTTCCGTTTGACGAAAATCGGATTTTAGCAGGTATTTCGCTTCCTTCAAAACATGGCAAGCACTTCATTGAAGAAGAAAATACACCTTTCCTCTTCTTTACATAAGCCATTTTCATAAAACCTACCGAAATCTGTCAGTTTTATCATCCAGTTTCGATCAATGAGGCATGCCCATGGTGTAAGAGAACCGTGGAAGCCAATCGGAGACGAGTGCAGATATTCCAAACCCTGCAGCAATATTTTTTAAAGCTGTACGTGAATACAATGAATTTGACTGGATCACTAAATGCATCGTAAGACCGTTGAAAATTTCCCCAGAACCATTGGGTGATGGGATACAGAGTGAGGCTTTGAATGCATGGGTGAGGATGAGAGCCTCAAAACTTTCCACACCGTGCTCAAAGCCTCAGAGGCACAGAACATTCTGGGGAAAAAAGTGGGAACCCGAATGGTGGAACAGTGGAACCCGCTACTTTGTGATCCATTGGACCGGCGGTAATGGAAATGGGTTCACTCACCAATGTGATGTCTCTGACGAAAGCACCATGGAATTTTGCATCCAGGACCATGTCCTTGTTGTAGATAATGTCCTGAACAATTCAATCCTTACCCTTGACTGAACAATGGGAATTTCTTTCACTATACCCTCTAACCTTGGCTACCTACAAAAGCGAAAAACGAGAAATCAACAGACTGTACCTGCACCGTACCACGAGAGCAGAACTTCCACAGTAAGACCATTTCATCTTTTTCATTGAATGACATGCCAAGAAAAGGATTCAGATTGTCATGAATTGATTGTTTCATCTGGAAATAACACTCTAAGCAGTGTATGTAACAAATTACGGTAGGTTACCGTACCAATGTCAACAACTGCATGTCTTCTCTTTTGAAAACGATTGGACGTCGTTGTGGGTAAACATGGAATGAGGCATGGGTGTTCGTGCCAACTACGGCATGATGTTTTGCAAACGACGTTGAATTTGACAGCTTTGTCGTCGTTGAACCAATCGATAACTGAAACAGGCGATCAATAAGTGAGTAGTGCAGTAATGGTCTCAGGTGCTCTGCCCATTCTCCTCACCAGAATCGATCCCACTCGTAATCATTCCCAAATTTCAGAGACGATTCCAGTGTATGTCATGGCGATGTACCACACAAGACTATGTATGTCACGTCGTTGCACCCGTTCCAAATACGAAAGGGTAAGTCGTCCCCAAAGATAGTGCTTATTCGAAAGAGCGCAGATTCGTTAAAGATGGGATCAATAAAAAGGGAACACAAATCAAAATTCTATGTAGGTTTGGACTCGTCTGGGGTAGGACGGTTTTGGTGGCATACCTATTTAGCCTGGAAAAAGATCTTACTATGGAATACGCCTTCACAGGTAAGGGCAGTAGGAACGTTTTAGTGTAATCGATCCGCCGCACGCGGCTGTCGCGGACCAGTTCTTTGCCTCGTTGTAACAGTTCTAGCACTTAAGGCATGATTCTACTAATAGTTCTTTTGTTCCTGAATTTCTTACTTGCTGCTGCATTCTGCCACATTCCTTCGTGCGCGGCGTCCCTCTCGCCGCGACGCGACAGTTTGGTTCCTACTGCACCACACCCGAGGAAACATCATTGAATGTTGAACTAGCACGAGCAGAGGCCAATTACCTTATACCATATTGACTGGGGCTTCCGATATTCGATCTGATGCAAGAATAGCATCCAAAATTAATAGCATAACTTACCATGGATTTAACTTCATCTTCGTTAATCGTTCTGAAATCATCACGATAAATCCTCCACGGTGTTCTAGCCAACGCACGGTTCTCACTGAAATGTACTTTAGAGTACATTGAAGTACAGCAGAAAAATAGGAGAAAATTGTCTTCATGCATTCGCATAATTTGTAATAACGATTGGCCATGAGTAGTTTTGGTGACAGCTTAGGGACCTACTCAAGGCTTTGATGTAAAGGTGTTACCAGACATTACTTCCCCTAGAGCACAGGCCGCTCTTGGAGTTTGAGAGTTTGAGAGTGAATATTTTGCGCCAGCAATGCTAGGGATAAAGGCGCTCTCCCCTCTGTACAACAAAGACCATTTGATACCTCCGGTAGTGAAAATGAATGGGAATGACAAAAACGAGAACATGGCTTTCTGAGGTAACGAACCAGACTCGGACAATGACGAGAGCGATGACGATGCCACCTATCAGCACGACCAGTAAGCTGGCACCGATAATGATCATAGTATAGTCACAGCGTTCGTTACGGAATCCACAATCGGGTTCTTCCTTTGGCATTGCACCGTCCGGTGATGGCCAGAATCCCGTCATAATGTCCGTGATTTGCTAAACAACGAATACTAGCGTTTAGGGAAGGCGTCAGATAGTGTTACTCACCAAATCAAAGCAGCCAGTCCTTGTTTTTAGGCCATCACAATTGTCGACCAATTTGGGTTCAATTTCGTTCACCTTCCTCACCAAATCGACATTAGCTGCCACGTGAAATGCTAAAACTCAATTAATAATTTTTATCAGTTCTGAAACAAAAAAAAAAAGAATTGGGGCCGGCTAGGGAAATGGGGGTGGTTTTTCTGAGCAAATCTGGGGTGGATAGTCACTGATGGCTACCCTGGACATCGGTCGACAGCCTCGAAGAATCTTCTGAATTTGAATTTTACCTGCGTAAACTGGCGCACGTTCAGCAATGTCGTCCATCATAACGGTCCCGGAACTTACACCGGCAGCTGAGACGAGACCTGAAAGTCACAAGACCTTTGAGATGCCAACGTTAAGTCAAAATAATGTCAACAAAATCTCCTAAAATTCCCTTTCAACTTCATGTCACTTCAGACCTGAGGGCAAATCCTAATCCTAATTTTTTGTATAGTTCGCAACCGCGGAGATTAGCAACTGAGTTCACTATGCAGCCGTGGATAAAAAAGGGTGTAGGCGACGCGTGCGGATGCAGCGCGGCTGTGCATCATTCCATGAGCTTTTGCCATTGTTTGTCGAATGCTGAGTTATGGGCAATTTTTCGGTCTCTATCACGAACGAGTCATATCATAAGAAGAGTCCCGCACCGGTTTGCTTATAACACTGAATCCTTCAGATGACTTTTTCTCCTCTAGCTATAAACTAACCATTTTTGCTGTTCGACTTTACACGTTCCAGAAGATTGCAATTTAGTTGCGAATTTTTCGATCTTACCTGGGAATGTTAAACGTCGCATCTGATTCCATATGAATCGGCCATCCTGGTAGATATTTGGATTTCCAGTCAGATTCATTGCTGTGCGAACTGCAGTCGCATATAGTCGCAATGCATCGTATAAATGAATATAACCATAGACGTTGCTCTGCAAAGACCATTTTGACCTTTCTCTATTCTATTCTCGATGACAAAGGTCTATGAAGGAATCGAACCCCACTGGGAAGATCTTAGGTGGCCTGCCCCTTGTGGTAGCAGAAGCTCGATCAGAGGTATGCATCTTGACGTGCCGCTTGATCGATAAGGGATTGCTGCGCCGACTTCGGCTAGCCGTGTTAGGACCAATCCTGCTTTACAGCCTTCTAATCAAGGATCCTGACACGGCCAATCGAAGAGGTAGACGTTCCGGCACAAGTGTCGCCATTAGCGAGCCTTCTTTGGGACAGGATCCACATTCACGCATTTAGCACGCTTTCTGAGGAGTTCACTGAAATGATCGTCTTTATAACTTACCAAATCCAAATCATCGGTAGTCATTCCGTTCGCTTCCACACGTTCTCGGAACGGCGTAATCAGGACGTCATCGAATCCGTTCACGTCGTCAATCTTAAATAAAAAAAAAGGTTAGCCGTAAGTTCATTGGATCTGCTCACACAGTTTGAATTCCAGAAACAGAAGTTTATCTACACTTCACAAATGGTAATAATACGAAGCAAACATCACAGAAGCTAGGCTAGGAATTTGTATTCGTTCAGAAGATTATTTTTTTTATTATTGATTCCCAGCATTTTTCTTCAATAGAGACCTAAGATCTCGTCTCAACAACACCATGCACGGCGCAATTTCCAGACCACTTAATCAATACATACTCAATCTACTCCGCCTCCCCGTAGTAATATCGTCAAACCGATACCTCTCTTAAGTATCGTATCGTAGCTCTTCTTTATCGCTTCCCTAATCGATACGTATCTGACCTATGTATCTTTCCCCGTCGCAGTCAATCATCTCGATGGTTTTCACTACGACAACAGTTTAATACTGTGCCTAAAATCTGCATTAAAAACAAGAACAGGCGTGCCTATCTACCTCGCCTACCATCTCTTCAATGTTGGCGATAAGCCAAAGAAATACTATGGCCAAAACCAGTTCAAAGTTCTGCTTATGCCCATACAGGCTACGGTCGATATTCACAAGAAGATTTCCTCTCGGCATTCGGTTTGTCGGGTTGATGGGAAGCCGGTTAGCTTCGCGCCCGGCAACGATGAAGGCAAATTTGCCGCCCAATTGTTACCGAGAAATGGGCAAGGATCAGTGACAATGGTTTTTGAAGAGAGCGCAGGCGATGAAAGACGGCGTCGTCGAAGCTGGCGTCGACGGCATCGACTGTAGATCAAGGCTGGCTATCATACATAGTCAGTGAAGGTGAAGATCAAGGGGGAAGTCTATCAGGTATAATTATCCTATATAATTTGTATTCCTTATCATCAAAATTGCCATGATGTTCGAATATAAGATTCAGTTTTCCCTACATGAATGTTGGGAGAGAAGTTGAAGCATCCTTTTGAAAAGAAGAAAACTGATCAGTCATCCCATAGGTATTAATTGAATAGGCTCCTGAACAGCCGCCCGAGCCACCTCTGTTCACTGAAGCTTATGGTCGTTTTTCGAGCATGAGAATAATGTTCAAAATGAACTCCGACCGTCAGCCCTTCAAAGACTCTCATCTATACTTCGATAATCAGAGGCTGGCCGCTCAGAAACGCCCTGAATACTCCGAGCACCACTTCTACCTTTAATTACTGTGAAGAGCACCCATAGTCGGTTATATGAGCCAAATAAAGGGCCTGAGGCCGTGGGGCCCGACAAGGACTTTGAAAAGATTTTCGACGGGAAAGTTTCTTTTTGTTTCTCGTTAGAATGGAGATTTTCCTGGTTTCCCAATTTCTAAGATATTGTCAAACTTGATACTTACGATGAGTGAGTTTGCAAAGTGATCCTTGATATTTTGCTGAATCTGCCCGTCCTCACCAATCCATGGTGCGGTGTCTTTACTTTCAGCCTGAAGAAAGCAGTAATCATTTGAACTCACTCATTCTTTGTACTCCAAAGCTTGCTCAGGTTCATTCTACATACCTGTAACCATGGAAGTATGTAGACATAGTCATGGGTATTCATTTTACTGTTGTAGGCAGCTTTCATGAATTCCTTTGACATCTCGCGTGTCGACGAAAATATGCAGATGATCACTGAAAACAGCTATACTTCAGGATGTATACACAGCGAAGTACTTAACTTAAAAAGCATTCTTCCCAACAAGCGGATGTCTCAAATCAGTAGCGAGAAATATCGAGTCATCATGCTATTGTATTTTTCCTCCCTACTTTTCCCCTTTTTTCGTTTTGTTCATTCTATATTTCCTTGAGGAAAGGAGGCGGGTCTAGAAGTCGCTTCGCATAGCTTGTGTTTTGACAGGTAGGGAATGCGCCAGCTCATCAAGCAGCATATGCTTTGTTTCAACTGATTGGAAGATGCACTATCTGAACTGAGTCTCGCGGAGAAACCGCTTCCATAGTACTGTGTCCGTGTAAGACAGTGACAAACCGAAAATGACAAAAAAGAGTTACCTCTAGCATTGTTGGATAGATCATCGAGAAAACCACTTTGTTCCATTGCTTTAGCATCGGCGTTCTCATCAAACATCACCTAAATGATTCTGGTATCACTCAGTTTATCACAAAATTCGAGGGCGAATGGTTATCGGGAAACGGCCGCCCAATGAAAGCCCTTAGCGCCACTCCTAGTGGACGCGGCTCTGTTGGTGGATTACATCTCTTCCCATTAGTCCTATACATCTACAAATGAAAATCAGACCTTTTTAGTTATTTGAATTTTTCTCAGATGAAATACTTCTTCGAAGGCTGTAAATCGTTCATATGCCAATGAGCCAGTGTTTGTTGCAATTCCAACCTAAAAAAATACAGTTGAATTGGTTGGTAAGGATAGCTGTTGTAATGGGAAAATGATAGAAAAATGAATGAAATAGAAGGGAAAAGTACCCTGGTCCAACGGTAGTGATTCAGAATAGCCGCCACTGCTTCAGCCAATGAATTTGTCGTTCTCAATGACACTCGAGCCAATGTCTTGTAGATGGATTTATCAGCGAACGCATTTGACGAAGCCATATAACCAACAATAGGAATGTTCCAAAAAGTGGCCATTTTCGCTACAGCATCCAATTCTGGAAAAGCACAATTAGGAAGGCTTTGTTGACTGTCTCTTGCCTTTACGGCTCATTTAGGTCAATAGCTTATTTATCAAGTTTACAGTTTAACCTAGAGTACTCCCTCGTAAGTAAAAATAAACTGGCCATTCAAGATCAGCATGTTTTCAGCACCCATTAATCGGTTTTCTGCAACCTCTTCGCCTTCTTTCCCATGGACTATGCTACAGAGCTGTGTATAGACCCTTTAAATGCCTTTCAGTCAGTCATCAAAGAGTAGCCAGTCACTCATTTAACTACTGGGACTATTCTAGCTCTGGGTAGGATGCATGGCGCACCCACACGGTGGTTTTACAACCATTGCTCATTTATCCTTAAAGTCGTTTTCTTCATTCACTGAGATAGTGGACTCGGTGCAAGGTTAGCGTTGGCCGGCCAAGGAAGCCCACGCCACTCCCGTCTGCGTCCTATCACCAAAAATGGCACTCTGCTCGTCTGCGCTCTGCCCTCGAGATGGTGTTCAATGGCAATCGCCTGCCCGGGGTAAGATCTCCTTTTGAAAAATTTCAGAAAATCATTGATTATCATTTCTGGGTATTGACCATTATTGACTACTACTTTTGTTGACTCCCGAATACTGCAATCCTCTTCATAATTATCTTTGAAGTGATGTCATTGCACTCTTTTAAACACATAGAACACCATCCGACCCGCTCCACCATAAGCATAGAACGAGAATGTACTCGCTGCTCTCCTCTTCCCTTCCCCTTTCCCACTGCTTTTGATGATTCCTGTAGAGATATGATAGAAAGGTGGAGGTCAGTCTCTTAAAATGATTAGCAGACTCACCTGCATTACAGTAAGGCCCTATGAAGGCCCGAACTTTCTGGACATGGTACATATCAGCACCGACGGCTACACCTTCGAACGATTCACTGCATCCTTTCTGGTTGATAAGTCTAAATATGAACCGTTTGAAAAGCTATATTCTCGTGCAATACATCAACAGCTAAAATAGTAATCGATTCGGGCCTTCAGAGTATAGCATAATGGTAAGGTTGTGGAATACACTATGGCCCATAGGGTTTATAGGGTCCGAATTGTAGAGTTTTTAGGCTTTTGTGGATTTCATGTCAAGCTTTTTTAAGGCACAGTACCACACTGGTTCCTTAACTCGTAAATTTGGAATCCTGGTGAGGCCGAGCGAAATTTCCAAGGATATTAGTTTAAGGGACTGGAAGTAGGCGAAGTCGTTTTTCCTTCATTCCGTATAGTCATTATGTATGAGGCATATGTCGGAACACCAGAGGATTTTCTTTAGACAAATCTTCTTAGCACTTTCAAGCATAATTATCGTAAAAGCGGCCGGCCAAATACAACGTGATGGATCTTCAGTGACTAATGACACATCTATAAGTCTATCCTGACACATCTGTGAATCTATCCTGGATTTTATGAAAGGCTTAAGCCATGCTATCGACAATCCCCTGTGGAAAGCACTTTCCTATTGAAGCCGTACTTTTCAAAGACAATGAAAAGCCAACAACAGATCACATCATAGACCAGCTCAGTTTATATTATGTGATTTGATCGTCACTGAGTGTAATTCCGTCTCAAGCCCCGTAGAACAAGCCCTACCGTGAGCTGTTCATCTGAGAGTTAACCGAGGATTATCTGAGAGTTTATAGAGGACTCTACTTGATCAGTTGTTTGATACCTATACTTGCATATCAGTGGATACTCAAAAGAGATACCATTGAGTAGGAGTATTTGCTCTTTCTGAGGCCTGAAGACGCGACAAATGGGGTAAATGAATTTAAAAACTGTTTATCATCTGAATACGCCGCTTAAGTCTTTGGGTACAAGAATCGGAGCTGATGTATTTTCCGTAAAGGGAGTCATAGCCTGTTTCCATTTTCTTGCATCTATGTACAGGAGCTGCTCGGCTGCTCACTATAATAACTAGTCTCTCACTAAATTTTTGAGTCTCCCACTTATTATTCCTCAGAAATATGTAATAAGTGAGGCTAGCAAAAGGCCCTCCTTACTATTCTACCTCATTCAATTCGTTGAGGCAATAGCTAGTAGAAACCTTACTCGATATCGAAATCGTCGTCCAGTACACCGTCTTTCCATAGTTCTTTTCTGGAAATTTCCAGAATTTTCTCGCCATTCTTCATATAACCCACTGCACCAATGTGTCCGACTTTTACCTTAAAAGTTCCATGAAATTAG